TATTATTATTGTTATTATCATCATTATTACACATGTATTATTATTAGTAGTAGTATCATCATCATCAGTATCAGTATCATTATTATTATGATCATTATTATCATCATTACCGTTATTATCATCATCGTAGCCTAGAGGTTAAGGTGTTCGCCTCTCATTCGAAAGCACCAGGTTCGAATGCGCGTAGCGACCGAAAATAATTTTTTCTTCTCTGAAAGTGTCTCCTTTCACCTCCTTTCCTGCTCTCTTAACGCATGAACTGAGAGCATTCCGGATCCTCTCTGCTCTATTTCGTTTCCAGACTGACCCATTTCCCTGATCGGCATAAAGATGGGAGGCAAACACGAATTTAACACGCTTTTCATTCATGAACATCAGATGTTGTAATTAACGAGTATGCTACCGTTGTGTTAAGTAATGATAGAGACTGTTCAATCACTCTTATTGTTTTGGATGAAAAGAAGACACCGCGTCCCCAAACGGAACTGGACACATAGTATTTTTCTACGAAGAGGTGATTTTGGAGAAAATCATCATCTTCTGGATGAAGTGTTAAGGGATGTGGAAAAATGTGTTTCCTACATTCGGATACGACCTGAAACTCTTTGGACCTCATATTGAGAAAAGAACAACACATTTTGCACTGCAGCAATGAGCGCTTCGTTCAGTGACAACGAGTCTATTATCGTAGGTTGAGAGGACAAAGACAATATTCTGGTTGCCCGATCACTTGCCGAGAGAGAACTGGGAGAAATTTTTGTTGCGAGATAAAACGTTCGCGTTCGGCTCGGCAACTGACTGGGGGTGGCAGGAAAGGGAGAGGGGTGCACTCAGTTTTCGGTGATGAAATAAGAGACACTCCCGGTGATTCGGCAACTGGGAGGAGAGGTCAAGCTGGGAGCAACAGGGAACGGAGACGAAAACGAAAGCACACAGTTTATACGTTAACAATGTTCTGTTGTCTGATTTCGCCTCCGCTTTCTGCCACTACCCCTGGGCTCCTAACGCTTTCTGCAGTCTTTCTACTGCTTCTCCTTGGCTCATTCTTACTGTCGTCTTTCAACCACTCCCCTGATAATCTGGTAGGAAAGATCTACACCTAGTCTTCGCGGACAAGGGAGAAAAATCTCGGAGGTCCCGAGTGCAAGTTGTGCACGTTTACAATCCCTTGGTGTCCAAAATCGATAAGAGTAGGCTTCGGCCGCCAACCTAGCAAGATTCCAAAAGTCCCACCGGCTGAAAAATGCTTAGTGTTTCCCGTGCTCTCATTTGATGTTATGCAGTTGCGAGCGCAGTAAAACACTTGCCAAAAAAAAAGGAAAAGAAAATTATCATTATTATTATTATTA